GTGAAATAACGATGTTGCGTTCAAATATGAATTTTCCGGAGAACTAAATATTCTCGCGAATTCCCGTTGGCGCCGTTGCTCTCCTCGTGAAGAATTGAGAAGCGTGATTCCGTAACTCGCCCCGACGGTTTGCGATGCGAGCATCAACGGAGAGATACGACCATTTTTATTCCCCGATTAACATCTGGCAGATATTTCGAAATATTCGGATACATATACAGACGTCGATTTTATATTTCAAATATTTTGCACACCCGAATATTTTATTAATGAAAAATATTTTTTAATTTTGTGCGGTTTTTGACTGTAGAAATTACGAATTCCCCCGACGGTGAGAATACCGAGTCTCGTAACCACGCTTTTCAATCGAATCGCTGATTCTCCAAATTCGGCGCATCCGAATGGAAAAGCCGCGAGAACGCGACGTCTGCACGTCTCTCCCGATCGCGCGCGGTGCAAACTGCGAAAGGAATGTACTAGAGATGCATTTTTGTTTTTATCCAGGTCATACGAAATTTCCGGATCGAGTGGCATCACGGACCGCTCGAGTACGAAAGCCGATTTATAAACACGCTGTCGTCGCCGATGCGATTCAAGCTCATCGATTTGTAGATCGTCACGGAGCCTCTGACGACGGTTTCACAAACCAGAACCATCAGAAATCATCCTGCCGACGATCTTGCACAGCTCTTCTTCCTTTAATAATTACAAACACCGACGAATGTCGGTACTGGTTACGCGAACGTCTGAGGAAGCTTGGCCGAGGTGGAGAAGATGCCATCGACCAACCGCAATTCGTACAATTTTAATCTACGCCCGAGGACAGAAAGCGCGACATTTTATAAGAATTTTTAACGCGAGAGCTATAAACTTTTAGCAAGCTCGTGAAAGAGCGCGCGTGTATTCGTGTGTGCGCTCATGGCACCAAAGCATAAAAGATATAAGGCTATAAATTGTACATATTGTTGAAATTTTCTTTAGCAAATGTCAATATGCTTTTTTTATGCTCTTATCACGATAGTCTTGGAAAAACATATTACGACGTTATTTTATATGCATTTGTGCTAATGGCAATAAAATCAATAATATTTCTCGATATTGATAATTGTCTCGTTAAATATTTATCCCTCGTATGATATTATTGATAAGAGATTGTAGATAAAATCATAAGGAAAAAAAAAATATGAATAAGTTATAAGTAACATAGTATAGTCGCTGCGTACACACACACACA